TGTGCCTGCATAATACGGTTTTTCAAGGCAGTAGGAAGCCAAGTGGCTCTCCCATGCAATGGAGTTACCTGAAAGGAGGACTAGCCTGGGGACATGCGCAGTGCCTTTCCTGGCCTTCAGTTTCAAAAATCAGGGTTCACCTCGGAACTTCTCGAAGGCAATCCTGTGACTCTGACCCGCTCAACAAAACCCAGCCCAACCTTCATTTCTTACGTCATCTGACTCCAAAAAACACAAGGACACCCTTCGAATGCTGGAATCTCAGCAAGAGATCAAGCACGGAGCCACGCCTGAGACGATTAAACTACAGTACGTCAGGATTGCCGACTTCACAGATAGTGCTGTGGAAGGAACATGGTTTGCCGGACACAGCCGGTCTTACAATATCTTCCAATGTCCTAATTCAGATGTTGCATAGCATGAGCCCTGAAACCCTCCGAAGCTGAGCCGCTGATTGAAGGACACGAAGGCACAGCGCCGATCCTGGAGTTGTGCTGGGCAGGGGACATCCTTGTTCAACCTATGGCGACTTCGGGGTTTTCAACCTTTGGGAAGCAACTGCCAGCTTGGAATCTCAGGAGTGCAAGCCTCCCTCTACATGCAGCAGAATTGGCTCGAAGAAGCCGCTGGCTCTGAAGAAGCTCACTACTGTAACTCCCATGGAAGGCATCGGTCGGGGCTCCACATGCATGCTAAGATCTGACACTGCACGCAATAGGACCAGCTTTCAACTTGTCGAAAACGCTCACTGTCCTGAAGCAGCCTTGCCTGCAAGTTGTGCATAGGTGGTTGGCTTCATGTTGGATGCAGGATAATGTCCTTGCTGCATTGCGCCTGGCAGCCGACAAGACCTGGAAATGGGAAGTGGTGGCAGTTATTCTTTGCTTGCGCTGGTGACGTTGTCACTACATCAAACCCTGTGTGTCGTAGTGTTCCACAATCTTTGCAAGTACGAGTGGTTATGCGAGCTACCCTAATCCGCATCGCTCATCGAATGCGGGTAAACAATGTAGGCTACAATGTAGCTCTCAGCAGACAGCGTTGAGACACATGCCAAACAACATGCAGAGCATAGACCTACGAGCTATGAATTCGGAGCCCTAATACAGGCCGTACAACAGGAAGGGTGGTCTAATGCAACCTCGGCCGTGATATTGGTTGGCTCTTGCACTGGCTCTATTGGACTACAAATACAATTTCAACGCTCTGCAGACCCTGCGGCGCAGAAAAGTGCCAGATAGTAGCATGCTCTGTCGTCGCGTGCTCTCCTTTCTGAACTGGTTGGATTGTTTTCTCCATTTCTGCTGTTGGTTTGGCTCGCTATTTTATTGTGCTGGTTCGTTGGCTTTGTTCATGCTTCTCCTGCCGTAGTATGTGTTTTGCGATGCAAGTTGTTCGCGAGAGGGTGTGTTCGCGCGACCTAGTTCGGCAGGTGTAATCTGAGAGAGCATGGGACGTGAGTTGTCTTGCTCGTGAAAACAAGCAGGAGCAGCCACGATCTGAACACACCCACCGCAAAACTGAAGCCTGCATTACTTCTTGCTTCCCAACTGTCCCACGAGCGAAGCACAACTCCACTAGACTTCCAGGGGCGTGCTGTAGCCATTGAAGTCATCGCCGATACGGACGGCACCTCCGAGATTGTCGCACCACCTGTCCTGGCCAGATTTGCGAGAGTTCTGTCTACAACTACAGGCAATCGGAGTCGAGAACTGCGCATGTTGTTTATACAACTGCACGAGCCCACGAGCAGCAAAGGTGTCAAGTAAAAGAAACTCAAGGCACAAGTTCACACACTCGAGCGGAGCAGAAGAAAGAGAGCCCACAGGAACTTGAGCTGTGACCGGCCATGTAAACAAGAAATCCAGGGTGAGCAAAACTGGCAGTTGATGCTTTCAGCCAACCGTCTGAGCCGTCCGCCTGCGCAAGCAGAGTGTAGGTGACCTTAAACATGGTTCATTGGGATCAGTCATTTTTGGAACTTTGTATGCTTACGGTTGAAGTTGAAGGCTGCAAGCACTACGTATGCACTTCGAGACACGCTGTCGATCTGTAATTCGGACTCCGGAAACAGAAAACGAGAAATGACCGCAGAATACCAACAGCAGTACACCGAGAGCGACAACAAGAAATACTGCTGGTTCAAGCAATAAGTTGCTTCAAAAAGCTGTGGCAGCAAGAATCCCCAGTCAAGAATAACGGCTGCAGCAAGAAGACCAAGATCTACCGTGACATTAACAACAAGTCACAGCAGACTGCGGGACCGTGAGGAGTGAAGGCAAGGAGCCTGGGTGTCCAAGACCTTCGCTCCCTGCAAAATGGCTGCACTTATTTTGTCTCGCATTCAAAGAACCTAATATATCCTGATCGATGGCAGCAAAGACTTCCAAAATCGCACTGGCTCTACAGGAACACTTGCCTTCGCCTGGCACATTCCAAATCCAGACTAGGCTTGATGCATGCGCTGAGGCTGGTGCCGCTGTCTGCATTGGTTGCTGGTGGGTCCATCAAAACCAACATTGAGCGGAGCTGGGGCAAGCGGAGTGCTTGGGCGGTTTCTGCGGCTGTTGCGCTTTGGGTTCGATAGTGTGGGACCTAGGAGCTGGGAAAACCTTCGTTGTATCTGAATGCAATGCCTTGTGGCTTCATCTGCGATCTATAGGTTAAAGCTAGTCGGTGGGCTGGTTGGATTGGTTGGATACGGGCACATCTTAGGCTTCAGCAAGTGTGGCTTTCTAACTGGGGATTCAAAAAGTTTGCAGTCGTTGGTGTTGTCGCTCGGATGCTTCACCGAGTCCGCCATGCAAGCCGATATACTTCGTCTGCAGGAAGACTTCACACTCTTGATGGATTGACAGGCCCCGAACAATAAACTTAAGCCCGACACCATAAACTCATACTTCTTTCAGTACAATATCATCAAAGCCAGAGCCTAAGCTATCAACCGCCGACTCCACATCTCCCAGCTTCATAAAGTCATCTGGAGACGGAACATATCACCCGAGAAAAATGTTCAGCCCATCGATACAGCCACGCCTCCCCCCCCACCCCCCTGTCCCAGGCGCAATGCAGTGCTGTGGGCTCAAGTTCTTGCTTCTTTTTGCTCGGCGGCCGCCAGCGCTGCACGACCCCATCTGCGAGTGACCGGAGCTGCCTGGCGGCAAGTTGCGAGGGTTGGTGGCAGGTCCCAGAGCAGCAGGGAGCAGGCCGCTTCCTGCCTGACTTCGTTACTCGAAGCCAGCAATTCTTCTGAACCAAGGGCTGTGATCAGATCTTCACTGCGGATTGGGATGGGGAGGGTCGTCGGATTCGTCGATGAATGCAGAAACTCGACGGGCGCCCATCTCACGAACCCCTTCCTGACTGGCTCATATGCTACCAATACCGCTTGGGTGTTGTGGCCTTGATTCAGAGCCGAGAGCCCCAGCCCAACCCAACGGACCTTGCCAGCAGAAGCAGCACAAGGCTTTGGCACCTGCGTGGCAAGGCAGCGATTCTTGTAGAAAAAAGGTCTCCCGTGGTGTGCGTCGAAGGCCAATAGTCGCTGACAACTGTCATGGTGCGGCTGAGCATTGACGAAAAGAACCACCAGGAGCACTCCAGGCGAAGTGGAAGGGTGAGTGGTATTCGACGATTGCCCTTGGATTGTCCTTTCAATCCTCCAGCTGCCCAGAAACCACATCCTACTGCCCAGAACCCATTTCTGACCATAAAGACATCAACATTCTTCGATGCTGACTGCTTGTGCATGTTTACTTCAACCCAGGCACAAGGTCCGCCAAACTTCGCGGCGCTTCTGGGCGAGGTGCTGCCAGGACGGCCTCGGCCTGCGTTTTTGCTTGCGATGAAATCTACTTTGACTTTGGTCATTCGGATGCGAGGCAGAGCTTGGAAGCCTATGCACACGACGCAAATGACGGCTCTGGCACAAGAAGCTGCAAAGGACACCGGGGCTTTCCAAATGATTCCGGCCAAACCCTCAAATGGTCGACACAGGGCTTACCACTCCAGCTGAACCTGCATGTCTTTCTTCTCAACTCGTCATGGCCTCTCGTTCTTTCCCTGAGCTTCGCTCTCGTTTCCTTTTCCGCTTTACCAGCTTGAGTCGGCACAAGTCCCGAGCAGCGATCACTCGGCTCACGTTGCAAACTAGGACCAATTCATAGAGCTTGGTCCCGAAACTTGACTCAATAACCCGTAGCTGGACGCAGCTGAAACCCTAACCAATGAAAGCTGCTAGTCCTCCTACCACCACCACCACTACCAGCACTGCAAGCACCACCACTAGCAGCTGGCACCATGACCACCAGCACCAGCACCGGCACCGGCA